CTCTCTGCTCTAACCCAAACTCTCTGCACCTTCCTGCCCCAGGTCACAACTCCCTCTCAGATCCTGTACCTCCTCTACAACCCTCCCCCAAGTCAGAATCCTCTCCTCCATCCATACTCTCTCCCTAACCCTGCACCTCATAACCCTGTCCCAGATCACCACACTGTGCAGTCTGCATCCTCTTTCCCCCTTCTGCCAGGTAACAATTCCCTCCCAGACTTTTCACCCCCTCCTAGAGCCCCTCCCACAGACCAGAATCCTATCCTGCACCCATACTCACTCCTTGACCCTTCACCCCAATCACCTGACCCAGGTCACAACCCCCCTCCTTCACCCACACTCCCTCATACTGTCTCCTGCACCCCAGTTCTTTACCCCATGCGCCCTTCTGTACCCAACCTCCATCCTAGACCCCATATACACTCCACAGAAAAGTGCGGCCCTTCACCACTTTCCAAAATCTTGGAGTGGCTCCCCACCAAAAAATTATTGCCCACCTTGATCTAGGAAAAGCACGAGCATGTCTCTGCTTTCAGGTAAGCTGCCTAAAGTGAGCACCACCGAGATCCAGCACCCCAAAACCCCTTTCATGACCCAGCCCCAGCCAGCAGCACCCTCCTGCACCCCAAACTCAGAGTTAACCAGAATATTTGACTAACTGGTACCTCCCAATATCTCCAACATGCAGGATAACAAAACTTTTATTGTAGTTGCTAGTAGTTTTAGCAATGATATCTGTGTTTCAAATATAGCACTTCCTATTTTTTTAATTTGGAATTTTTAATTCTAAATTTTTATTTTTCTTTATATAGTACAAGTTTATTCTTTTGGTTGATGCCCTTTCACAATTTCCTACCCCTGGACCAGAGGATCAGAAAGGAAAGGAAATTAATAGGCACCAGGTTTCAAACAAAAAGGAGGTATTTCTTTACACACTTCAAAGTCAATTTGTGGAACTCATTGCTAGAGGAGGTTCTGAAGTCCAAGACTATAATAGGATTCAAAAAAGAATTAGATAAATTAATGGAGAAAAGATCCCTTAACGGCTATTATCTACGATCTGCAGAGAAGGTGTCCCTGGCCTCTGTTTGTAGAAACTGGGAATGGGAGACAAGGGATGGATCAGCTGATAAATACCAGTTTTGGTTATTGCCCTCGAGAAACAGGCATTGGCCACTATTGGAAGACAGGATACTGGGCTGAATGGTCTGACCGACTATGGCCATTTTTATGTGAGAGGTAAACTGTGATAAAGCATTAAAAAGAATATCCATAGATGTCTCTAACTGCTACTGACAGCAAAAGCTATTGATAGTAGTTTTTTATACTACTCCTGGCACCCAGCTCTAGCAGCCGTGGAGAAGCCTGGGCAGAAAGCCTCTGACCTATGTCTCCACTCACCAGGCATACCACCCCAGTAGGGGTACGGTCTGGGACTCCATACTATGATGCCACCGTGTAGTCGACTACATGATTAACCAATAAGCCTGGGGTTACTGGTTAATCTTGTCAACTATATGCACTTACCCCACATGCTGCTGCCTCTGTATCAGTGAGAGGATGAGGGGAGCAGGCTGGAGACCATACGTATGGGAAGCCGACTTTAAAGCAGGCTCCCTGCATGTGCCAGCTTCACAGACATCTGTCCACCCCCCACTCTCGCTGCCTCTTACGTAGGCAGTGGGCAGGGCAGTTAAAAACCATTTCCCTCAAGCACCAGCTTCACGGTGCTATCTGCTCCCTCTGCTGTTGCCTCTATCAGAGGCAAGAGCACGGGGGGAGGGAGGGAAGGTGTGGAGGAGAAGGGAGACAGGGGAGGCTCCCATGAAGCAGCTTCTGTCCATGGAGGGTCCAAGATCCCCACAGACAGAGGCTGTTCCTCATCCCATGGAGCATCCTCTGTCTGTGGTGAGCCTGGGCCCGCCATGGACAGAGGCTGGTCTGCGGTAGCAGCCCCTGTCTGCAGGGGGTCCGAGCTCTCCACAGACAAAGGCTGCTGATGCCACGGACCAGCCTCTGCCCATGAGGAGGTCAGACCTCTGTAGACAGGGACTGCTGCTACCCCACACTGTTGCCTCTCTATCAGAGGCAGCAGCACAGGGCAGCAGGCAGCTGGTCTTCATGGGGGTACTGTTTTTTAAATTGGCTCTCCTCACGTACCAGCTCCACCTGCCACCCTACGCTGCTGCCTTGGTGGCTGGGGGCTCCCGAGGAGCGAATCCAAAGCGCACTGGCTGCTGGCCCCGCCCTCAGGAACTATTCAACAGTTCTGCAACTGCTAAGATTTCATGCGGTTACACAACTATTCAATTACACAATATCCAACATCCATACTCCACACAGTAACCTGGACTGACACACTTTGGCTCAGGATCTTGAGACCTGCCTCCAAGGGTTCTGTTGGCCCCAAATCCAAGTCCCACCACCCTGGCGGCTCTTACTTGCTGCAAGCAGTCCCAGTCCCAGACAGTAACAGCAGGAGGAGACAGGGAGCACCATGGCACCAACCAGCCCATTAGTCATCTTGCACTGCTCCAGCTTTTAACCTAACCTGGGGGCAGGACAGCAGGGAAGTGCCAGAGAAAGAGGTGAGGCTAGCACTTACCTGAGGGGATGCAGGCAGAGCCTTATAGTGATGGGAGAACAGCCCATCTTTTCAGTCTAGCCCACCTTACCCCCCCCCCCCCCCCCACACACACATACTAGGAAAAGGAGGCGGCACCTTGTATAGAATGTTGTAGGTAGTCATAGTGAGTAAGGGATTCATGTTCATAAACAACATCAAAGAATTTTAAACCATTAGCAATTATGGTTGTACTGTACTACCAGGCATTTTTACTTTCATCCCTATCCTTTAACTAGACATTAAGTCAAACAGATGTGCTTAAAAGAAATAACTTTTTATTCTATTTTATGTAAATGATGACATTGCAATTAGTATAAAAAAGGTTAATGTAGAAAAAGGATTTTCTCTTCTCCTGGAAACAGATATTTACAATATGCTACAAAGATCTATTTAAACATCCTGACATATTCCAGTCTTTTAGCTAATCCACATCAGGTCTAATTTGAAGCATTTTGATCATGTGTTTTATTGCAAATATAGTTCCATTTTAATTCCTAAATTTTTCAATATAGAAGAATCTGCATGCATTAAATAGATCATCATAGTATAATATAAACTGTCAAAAATTTAACTGGAGATATAAAGGGCTACAAAAACAACAACTACAAAAAAAAGACAGCAAATCTACACTGATTTAATGTCACATTTAAATGATTTAATGATGCAAAAATCTTGATGATGGCAAGAAACAAAACAGCATTTTTCCATTTTAGTCAAATATAGATACTTAATTAAGACAGTACTTTTAATATTGTTCAACATTTTTTCTGTTCTGAACTAAAATAATTTCTATTTTTTTTTAAACTGTAAAACTACAGTGTAAATGTCTTTCAAGTTACAGTAAAACCTGCCTTAGAGGCTTCTACTGAAAAGAGACCAATTGTCATGAGTGACTACTTGCAGAGGTCATGTGTACTGGGGCAGCCTGCCCCACATAGGTAACAGAGAATTAAAGCAGCCCTCAAAAAGGTTGCACAGAATCCCAATCAAGGGGAAGAAGGTTTATTGAGACAGCCAAAAAGAAGGACGCTTGTTTGAGGAGCCAGTCAGGGCCAGGCGAATGCAGTCTCTCCCTGGAATGCAAGAGAGGAGGACTGACTACCAGGAGAGGAGCACTCAGATAGAGCAGTGCTGGGCAGGGTCATTGGAGTGAGAAAGTGCTCCAGGCTTACTGGCTGCCAAACTGAAGCCCTCATACAGAAGCAAAGAAGGTGCTAAAAAGAAGGACGCTTGTTTGAGGAGCCAGTCAGGGCCAGGCGAATGCAGTCTCTCCCTGGAATGCAAGAGAGGAGGACTGACTACCAGGAGAGGAGCACTCAGATAGAGCAGTGCTGGGCAGGGTCATTGGAGTGAGAAAGTGCTCCAGGCTTACTGGCTGCCAAACTGAAGCCCTCATACAGAAGCAAAGAAGGTGCTCGGCCT